CCAGCTAGAATAAGAAGCCATAACCGTAGCAACACCTTTGATAATTGAGTCGTCATAGGCGGGCATGTGGATAGTCAGCAACTCATGCTTATCAGTCACAGTGTTATTCTCATTAACACCCTTAGTTGTGCCCCCATCACCAACAAAGTGCTTTGCACAAGCAGCCACCTTTTTCCTGAAAATTGAATGAGTTAAGAGGTTTATACACAGGGAATCCTTTTACAAGCAAAACATAGAATTTAATTACACAAGAACCACCATTATCAAAATGTAAATATAAGATCTATAACTGATTCATAAAAGGCTCATCAAAAAATTGACATTAACTACAAAACAGTGGCAAAAAAAGGGAAAACAGCATTAGCATAAAAGCATCTCATATTGGACTTCATTGTGCTCTAATGATAACAAGCAACTAAAGAGCAGTCAAGGTTCTCATTACTTAAACTTAGATTTGACAGTTCTTTGCACAACGATGAGGAAAACAACTGTAAATATTTGTTCTAACTTTTAAAGAACAGCATATAAAAATATAAGCATGGAATTGCTTTCATAGTTTCCATACTTTCCAGCAATATAAGGTATGCCCTTCCTTGAACCATTAGGAATCTCGCCTTGTAACCCAATTATAATATCCGTCATTTCTTGAACAATCTTGGGATCTTCACTATAACTTTCATAACAGCGACCCCACCTAGGATCTCTGCAAACCTGCCCACAAAGGTTTAAACTTTAAACGAAAACTTGATTTACAATTTAAAGTGAAAAATGAAATTAATTGTGAGAAGATTAAGTAGAAAGTCAATCATCAATCTGATTGTATCACCTACAGCGATGCAAGGAGCAAATACATAAGGAATCCCTGTAGCTCTGACTTCAAGAGCAGTAGCATCACCAATTCTTCGCATGAGTTCAGGGTCCCTGAAGAATAGATATTCGGTAGAACATTCAGATAAGACCAACATCTTTTATGTATTAGAAAGTGGATAAGGCCAACAACAAGTTACCTTGAACAGGGAAAAGAATTCTGAAAATGAAAAAATAATTGTAGATACTATCAAAATGAAGTTTTTTGAACATATAATACATTCATATTTCCTAGACATAACTTACATATGACACACAGTTATTGGCAGAGCAGTATATTGATACTTGATAGACAACAAATCACTTATCAGAATGTTAGCTTTGCAAATGAAATTATTAAACTTTCTCAAGAAAAAAAATATGAAGCTTGATTTAGGTAACAAAAGGTTTCTTGGTAGTACACTAGATAACAAATTATTAGTCCAATGTGAACACATGCTATATAAACCAGAAAATAACAAATGATTTAAATTTGATAAGTCAACGCTCAGCACTGTGTGTTTTGTACTTGAAATTATCCATGTAAAATTTCCTTACCTGGCAGCTCCAAGCCCGATGTTATGTGGAAATATGGTGGCATTGAAAACATTGTTGTGTCCGTGAACGGCATCAATCCCATATATCATTGGAATCCCAAGGCGAGTTGACATAGAACCATTTTGGTAGTCATTCACCATATTAACCCAATCTGCGGCAGTAGCTTTCGGAAGTGGAGTACTTCCTCCACCACTTAATACACTACCTGAATCAGAATAACTAAACATAAACTTCAATTTTCTGTTTGCCATGCCAACAAGATATTTTAAACAGAAGTGTAGGGCCTTTGATTGGGATTTAAACCTGCATCTAAATTTGCAAAACAAGTTGTACTAACAATCCATCTCTTTTTTCGTTTATTGTTATTACTTTTTCCTTAAAAGATAATCCTGAGTTCATGTTTCATTGTTAATCACTGCTTCATTACATGCCATTTCTTTGTTGAACTATCATATCAGAATTTGACAAAAAGAAAAGTAAAATATTGTAAGATGCACATTCGTTTTTACATGTGATTTGCACTTAATAATCATTTCTCCAATCACTTGATTTGCGATTAATGATCATTTCTTCCAGTTTCCTAGTTTCACTTTACAAAATGTCCTAATCAAGGAAAGCCAAGACTGATGTATAACAAAAAGATGTTATGAACATGCTTTCGAACTCCATAGACAGCCTTATCTCTTGGCGTACTCGGGAAAATTCAAACTTGGAAGAAGAAACTGATTAGGTTCGGCTCAACTTCCTTTATCAGTGCAAAAAGAAGCCTGTTTTAGCTCAACTTCCTTCCCTTCTTTCTTTCTTCTTTTCATCTCTTTTGAATACTCTTTCGACTTATTCCTGTATCCATTCAATTTTGCATGTCCTGATCTTGTAACTTTGGAGTAACCATGAATACTCACAACTATTTTTTTTCTGCAGTGTTCATAGCTATTAAACCGACATATTAAATCTACAACTATTAAATTCAATCTCCAGGATAAGTGCTGGTAACAAATATTGATCAAGAGATGCATAAAAAACAGAAAACAAGAAAGTATGTAAAGGGTACTACAGGCATACCTCTATATATAACAATAATTCTCTATAACCAACATTTCACTATAACAACCATGTTTTTTGTGGACCGATCTTTCATGTTATGTTACATATATGTTCTCTAATAACATTTCACTTTAGCAGCCAAAAAATATTAGAACATACGACCATGTTATAAAAAGGTTGGACTATACTATATATTGTGAATGTTCCTTATCAAGAAAATCCAGATGTGAAGTCCCGATGTATTGTTTTTATAAACAAGGGCATCAAATACTCTATATCTCGTAACAATCTACTTCAAAATGTCATTATTCAATCTACAAGGAAAGTAAAACACAGCAACTAACAAAAAAATGCACAAAAAAAACTAAACAATTATTCAAATGATACAACTATATAGATATGAAACATAACTGAAGTAGTACTCCAAGTTAAACAGGGCTTACTGTTCTCCAAACAATCTTCTTTAGACTAACATCATCAAATCTCCATAAACAAATACTCCCTTCTTTCAATTTGTTTGTCTTACTTTCTTTTTTCCCATGTAAAAAATAATGTCTCTTTTACCTTTTTGGCAACTCTTCATTTCCAACTTTCCCCATAACATATTTTATACAACAAGATTAAAGGGCATTCAGATACATTATATCTATCTTTAGTTTAAAACCACAAAATCTATCAAGTGTTACTTACTTTCTTGAATTCCGTGTAAAGTTAAAACAACACAAACAAATTGAAATGGAGGTAGTAAACACCAACTACACAAGAAAAATTACAAACATGGAAACCACAATACTATATGCAGATTTGAAATATTACCAATATAGTAGTCTTTCATTATTTGAATAGTGGCAACAGTCCTATCAATCTGAATCATCTGTCCAATCTTTTCTTGAAGGGTCATTCTACCAAGAAGATCTTTAACTCTAACCCCAACTGGTTGTTCTGGGTCCTTGTACTTGATGTAGTCCTCACCCATTGCAATCTTGTTCCACCATAGCACCAGAGTCACAAACCACCAAACCCAACTTTTCTTACCCATCCTCAACACTATAATAACATCAAGAAAATGTGATACTTTTTTTTTCAAGATAGTACTTGAAATATAAGTGAATACCCAGAAAAATGTAGGGTAAAGGGTGCAAGAAAATGCAGGATCTTGAAAGTTTTTAGTGAAAGAAAACAGTAACAGAGAGAGTGTGTGCTGTGCTTTGTGGAAAAGATGAGTCTAAAAGTAGGAGTGAGAGTTGAGATATTCTTTGAAAAAGTTACAAGAGTTAAACGGTTATATATACGCCAAGAATATATATTACTAACCACCCTCCCAACCCTTTTAAGCAAGTTATTACTCAATTCTCATCTCTTTGCTTGTCATTATATTAAAAATAGTTATTTAATAATATTTGTATAGTTTGAAAAATCAAGAAATTATATTATATATACTTTTTGTGTCTATTTATCGTATTGTTGTTGGACAGAGAATATATTTACTTTTATTTGTTTAAAATAGATATAAATTTATAGATTTTATTTTTCTAAACTTGATTTTTATATTTAAATTCACAAAGAAAAAAAAGATTTATACTTTGTACCACATAAATTGAAACAGATAACGCATATATATTTATAGTTACGTGAGCATTATAAGTTGTAACTGTCTAATGAGTGTATAATAATGAATGTGTAACTGTATAGTTAGTGATTGAATAATGATTAAACTGTCTTATTCATACATGATTTACTTACTTAATTAGTGTTTTATATCTATAAAATTATTTAATTCGTGATATGTTAATAGACATATTATGTGGTGAGTGGGGTGGGGTGGGGACGTGGGGTGTTGAACCTTTCTTTTCTAGAGATTTGAGAATTTCGAGAAAGACAGTTCATGTGGGGAACTCAACCTTTAGTACTGACTAGCTTGTTCAATCAAAAGCATTTTCTTTCTTAAACCAAAAATATCAAGAAAAAGGTAGGTGTTACATATTTATAGATTCTAATTTATATGTGCTGAATTAAACACTACTGTACTATACGATTAACTTACTTTTATTTAATAGACATTTAAGAATACACTCAAAAAAAAATTCAAAATTTAAATCGAAAGTATCTAATATGAACTCTTAATAATATGTTTTAAGTATTCAGGTGATCAATCAAAACAGATTACAGTTTGAATATTTAAATAAAATTTACCAATAAGTTTAAAAAATTGTCTACATATTCCACATATTTTCCATATTTCATATTCACTTTATTTCGGAAGTGTCTAATGCATGATCCCTTATTATTTATTAGCAATAGACTTCTAATATGCTGATTATTGTAAAACTATAAACAACTTTTTCTTTAATCTTACCTTAGGTTCGTGTCCTCGGTTAGTCATAAGGGTATTTTTAGTCTGAAAATATAACGGAAGGGGTACATTTAGCCCGAAAGTATAACTAGGGATATATTAAAACTATTTCATATAATACAGGGGTATATTTGGCCCTTTGCCGATATAAAAAAGTGGCAGTTTAGATTTACCCAAGTTAATAGAATATCACCAGTCAAGGTTATTCTACTGTCCAGAAAGAATCAAGTAGATACTCATTTTGCTGTTAAAAAATACAGATACAACTTTAGACATCACATGATTCTATATGAGTTTTCCACTGAATTTATCTGTAAAACCTAACTCCCTTCTTCACCCTTACTTGAAAGTTCTTCATTTTCCTTTAACTTTGATTCATCTGACTCGAGAGACTTTGCAAGTAGTGAAGAATCCACGGGCCTGTCTTTCTGCGTATCATCAATTGGCTCGTCTTTCTGTGTTTCATCAATTGGCTCATCTTTCTGTGTCTCATCGATTGGCTTGTCTTTCTGTGTCTCATCAATTAGCCCTCCTGCTGAGGCAACTTCAGATTCGGTGTTGAATTCAAATTCAGGGTGCTGAGTTTGTCCTTCATTATTGGGCAATGGTGGAGATGGATTGTCAATGCCTGATCCTTTAGCAAGGCAAACATACTTGATAACTAGGCGCTTGTAATTGGTTAGTAGTTCTTCGATATCACCCACTGTTAGATCACCAGCCTGGGAATATAGGTAGGGGAAACTTTGGAACACTTGGCTGATGCTATCCTCCTTGATCAGCATACTAGCCCCTCTGTTTTCTAGATCCGACAGTGACGGGATCTTTTCCATTGATGACTGGCTTTTAACATACTGATCCTCGTTCTTGATGTTTGTTTCTGTTGATGCAACTGAGAAATTTGGCTGTGTAGCAGGGTGTGGAGGCCTATTTGACCTAAAACTTTGTTTGGTGTCAGACGTGTCTGCACCAGGAACAGGTCCAGCGTTCTGATCACTCTGGTCCAGTACATTGTTGTCGGCTGAAAGACCAGAAAGAAGTGCTCGAGCAGACTCCATATTTGTTTCAAACTCGGTCTCATCCATAGAAAGAGCTTGTGCATCAATATTCGAAATGAAAGATTCTGCAGAAAGAATGTTTGTGAAGAAGTATGCCGCTTCAGAAACCAAGCGGGTTTGCCGCCTAAACCTTTGTATATACAGTAGATTTGAGTGCAGCTGAGGGGGGTTAGCCTGATTGTGACATAAAATAAAAGGTAATTTAAAAATTGAATGCAAGGACACAACAGAAGTTGTAAAATTGAAATACGGGAGCAGAAAGAATTTCAATCATTCTTCAGTATCGAAGAGAACACAGAACTAAAACAAACAAGCTTTTAGTTCTCCACTTAATGATTTTCATCTATAAAAAGATTTTGGAAGGACGGTGCGTCAAGGATTTGGTAATATTCCACACATGGTTCATCAAATCAAGGATTTTGTTGAGAATCTGAGTAAAATTCACTTTTTTTTGCTTGTTTCTGCGGGACAATTATAAAGTTATAATTCATATGATGTTATCCCCAAATCAGAAATCATATGCAAGATATTTGGGGGATGAGAAGTACAAGATATTTGGGGGATGGAAGTGGGTGATGAGACGATGATAGGAAAGCGAAAGGTGCAATAATGGACTCTTTGGCCACTAATCTGGATGCCTGCCTTTCGGATGCATTCAGTGTTCATGAATTCCAACATGAAGAAATAAGAATGTTTCTTCTAATCACTCCTTAGAAGAGAATTAAAATTTCCCTTGTTAGTCATCTTGGGCAAAAAAATCCAAGACAAATCAGTCGTACCAGCAATCCCTTCCCTTATTCATGTAGCAAAGCTGGACTACTATCCAGGCAAGCATTGTTCAGTGTTATTAGGCCTCTAATTCTGCAATCAACTTCCCTACAGGGAAATCAAGACGTGGGAGCATACCAAACACTACAATTCAAAACCTAAAGGATACGTCAGTTGTGAAGACTAATATATCAGATCAGTGCAAATGAGCTGGCTTACCTTTATGGTGACATATATGAGAACGGGAAGAAAATCATCTGCTCCTGGAGGGTTATCCTTTGCTGAAACAGAAGTCAGGAGATTATTGATAACCTTGCAACAATTAAGAATACACACAAGTTTGTCTCTTGGTGCCCTGTACATATTTATCTTTTGTAGCTCCTTCTGCGCAAGCTGTAAAAAGTGTAGCATGTAATGAAATAGTTAGACATCTCATTGAAGAATGACATTCACGAAACTATGCTTATTTATGGCAGGGTAAAAGAGCTATACTTATTGTAATCAAGATCACAACTCAAAAGGACAGCCTAAAGAAGACGTTTCTATAAAGGAAGAAGTGTGTGCCCCGGTACTATGAAAATATTCTCTGAATTTTGCATACTGCAAGCCTTGATATGTTACTGTAAACTGACGGTCATACCCATAAAATACCAGTTTACAAACTTCTGCAGCAAATCTCTGAAAATCTGGGTCCACATTTAACCAACAAGTTACCATGTTAAATAAAAAATATGAAAGTAACACGATTTTTTTATAGAAATCAATACTCGAGGTAATTGCCAGAGTAATCAGTGGCCATCTTGTCAAGGTGTAACATATGCACAAAGACAAGAAGGTTAGCTCTTACTTGGTTATTTTTGTGAAAATACTCTTTTACTTTTACCAGTTATTAGTATAATAAAATAGCTGTGCTAAAAACTATTTTATTTGAAAACTACACCTGTTCCAGAAATGTGTATCTTTTCCAAAGTTCCAACTTCCAAACACTGGTTGCGAGAAAAAAAAATTGTTTCTTCCATCAGCAACCCATAAACCCACTAAGATACAGACACACATGCACATATACTATTGTGTGTGTGTCAGTATGTGTATAATGTATGAACACACACACACAGTGCATATAAATATAAACTAACATCATGGTAAATGGTAGAGGTCGAGGAATGATCAAGTATGCCTCACAAAAGATGGGTGGCTTTATTAAAAAACCACAACCACATTCAATTAGAAAAACCGTTCGCCCACAACATTTTGTTCGGGAAAATTATGTAAATGTACCGACTTCGGAACCAACAAACTGTCAAAAGACACGTGCATTTTGCTCTGAAATATAAAAACTGGTAATTTTATAACTTCACCCACGCATTGTCATCCTATGAGTGGCAGGCCCAAATCCCAACAACAGTAATCAAGTGAGAAATCATATCCCTTCCTCCAGTAGTAAAAAAAAAAGTAGCAGTTAAGAACCAAAATCCCTGGACTTGCAACAGAATCAATGAATGATTCACCAGAAATTTACTTTTTACAGAGTTCACTTACCAACCATGATGATTCATTTTGAAATGTTGGCTTGATATCCAAATTCTCAGGCCTAACAAATTGTTGAATCAAAGCAATTTTCTCATGAAGCTGTTCATCAACTTTCACATCTTCAGGAAGTGAAGCAAATGTACGTGTAAATAGCTTCGTCATGACATACTTCTCAAGTCCCTGTTGTTTGAAATAATATGAATATGAGCAAACAAAGTACAAACAGCACAGCAACAACTAAACTTATAATCAGTTGACATGCTGACATGCAGCCTACAGCCATCCAGAAGCATCGAGTATAGAAAATGTGATATCCATGAATAACACAATATATTGATTCCATATGTTGGAGTAAAATTGTACAAACATCAACCTGAGTCTTACTGAAAAGGTATGACATATGTAAGCATGTTGAGATAAAAGGAAAAATGATAACAATCAGACTTGGTACTTCTAGGCACAGTACCAATAGCAACTCTAATTAAGACACACAGTAGATTCAAGAATCCAAAGTTTTTTGTTCCTTCAATGTTGAGATATCTGTGGATCTGTTTTTCTGAAAGATATCAGTGGAACTTCCTTCCGTTACTTATGCTCTTAAGGTTAGATATTTATTAATATCACGGAGCAGCCTGAATCTTCAGTGTACTAAAAAATCAGCATGCAGATGTCATAAGTTTGAAACTCGGTTGTGTATAGGCCCACTCCTCTGTCATGTTCCACTTAAATTTCAGGCTTCTTGTTGGTGGCAGTATTCGAACTTGTGATGTGCACCCTAGGCTGCACATCTCAAGTTGTGTCCTTTATATTGAACCAAAACCCTAGGGGCTTGTGGGGTAATGGGGTTGGATGGAAGGTTGGTAGGTTGATGAGATTTGATATACAAATGAAAAAACAGACTGATAACATTCATGCTAAAGCCTTATTCAGCATTTAGGTGTACTCACTTCACCAGCACTCTCCAACTCCTCCTCGGAACATCCAGCCCAAAGTGAATGAGCTCTGAATGCTGTTTCCATATTTCCAAGGAACTCCTGCACGGCTGCACTATCCCTCTCTGCGTCCGGAGCATTGTTCAAAAATGATACAATAAAACTGCAAAAGATTCCAATTAGTAATAACATTTCCCTCAAATGATACCTACCTACAACTCTTCAGGGTCCTAGTTAATTAAAATGGCAAGCCTTGCTGTTATGTTAATTTGAACTAATCAACTATGCAAATATTCAATATGCAGTAGTATATTATACGATGTTAGATCAGTTAGTAGAAGAAACACAAATCCCATGAATTCATCCATCTACGTGCTTTATAATTATGAAAAGTATGAGAAGAAATTATGCTAAGATGACAAGCTGATTATAAGTTTCATATGACTAAGACAACCATTCCACAGCTGTTCCAGAATCCCAATATCGACAATTCAATTTTTATAATCAATATCCATTAATTTCACTTTGCATAGAAAACTCTCTCCATAAAATCATTGAGGTACTTGTTTGGGCTGAGGAATAATTGTTGTACTACGCCAAAACCCAAGCAGGTTTGAAGAGATTTAAAGAGAAGAAAACAACAAGAGGTTCAGCTGAAGCATTCTTCAATAATGATTATGGGCTACTCAACTGAGCAAATGAGTTCACGTCCCTTTATCACCATCATCATATACATTTTTTTCTCATGGCAATCTTCCAATATCTACTTTAAGCAAACATCAACAATAAGTTACTACTAAACTTACATATGAACAAAAATAAGTTAAAGAACCTAAGTAAGTACTCTGGTTTTCTCAGTTAATTGGCCTAAGTTGACTTGAGCAATCAAAATCATACAAATCCGATTATCCAACTAAACCTTAGCCATTTATTCTTTTACCATAAATAGGTGTCTTTCTTTGATCTATGCAAATTTTCCTAAGTTTCCTTTCGCACTCAAATTATGAATAGGCTCTTATAAGATGAAGATTGATACCTTTTGATGGATTTGACGAAATCGGCAGCGGTTGGATCACGCATTCGTTGAAGGAAATCATGCCACGTCAATGGTGCAGTAGACGATCCTAACACGTCGCTGTTCTCCATTTTCAGATCGACGGCCGGCGACTCTCTCTCTCTCTCTCTCTACGAATTTCTGATACTATACTGAAGAAGAAAGAAGAAGAAGACAGACTAAATGGGCCCCCGAAATCAAGTGGAAGTTGGGCTTGCAATTCATTTGTTTGGAAGGACTTTGGGCTTATGAGAGTAAATTGGGTTCTCAATTGGGCCTATCAGGACCTATTTATGGGCCATAACACCTGAATTTCTGAGAGAAAGTGGCAAATAGCCACTTGCCACTACGCAAAATTATTCAGTACTAGTAACATCCCCGTGCTTCGCGCAGGAATTTAATATTACGGAATATATAAAATAATACTTAAAACTTATCCGTCACTAAAACTAAAACACTATATTATCCTACATAAAAGATTAATACTGTAAAGGAAAATAAAAATTATTTCATCTTATCACTTATCTTTAATAACATAAGCATATATTAATTACTGTAAAAATACATATTAGGATGTGAAACATAAGCAATGGTGTCACTGAGCCACTCAACATGAGTAAAGTACACAAATATGAAATTGTGAAGAAGAAGATGACGAAGAAGTAGTAGTTCAGAATTTTCGTTGTTTTAAAATGAGAGGAAATCCCTCAATTTATAGACAACAAATGGTAGTGTGAACAAATATTTATTGTGCCTTATCGGAAAGGTTACAACTATTTGGAAAAGTTGCAACCTTTCAGAAAGGTCACAACCTTTTATAAAAGTCGCAACTCTTCATAAAAGTCACAACTTTTCATAAAAGTCGCAACTCTTCATTAAAGTCGCAATTTTTCATAAAAGTCACAACATTTCATGAAAGGGGAAGGCTAGTTTTGGAAATAAATAAATTAAAAGTGAATTTTGGTTTGTGGTGGCGCTACGTAGGCAGGCCTAAAGTTCTCTTTTATATATACACTAGATAATTGAAGGCCCGTTCACGGGCCCATTATAATTAATTATCTTTTCAATTTTAATTTAATTTTTTTTACCTAAATTCGCATCTTATTTTATTATAATTTCTAAAATTTCCTAGCATTTAAAAAAATTACAAAAATCCCCTCTCAGATACATCCATATCCTCTGTCAAATACATCACTATCTCCTCTCGGATACACCCATATCCTCTCTCGAATACATCTTTATTCCCTCTTGAATACATCCCTATCTTCTCTTGTATACATCTCTCTCCTCTCGAATACACCCCTCCTCTCTTGGATTCATCCATGAGCTATGTGTTTGCAAGTTTCTTGAATAGTAATGTATCACGATCGATGTATCCGCATGTCTACTGATGTATTCAAAAAAAATTAATTCTAAGAAAATTTTGTTATGTGAAAAAGAGTAGAAATATAATGTAATTAGCTCTTAACAGTATGAAAATTTATGTAATTTTTACTTTAATTTATGTGACATATTTTTCTTTGTAGTCCGTTTCAAAAGAATGATGTATTAATATATTTAATAACATTTTGACTTTAAAATATTCATTTTATTCTTAGTAAGATGATTTATAGTCATGAACATCTATGGTTTGGTTTAGACCACAAGTTTTAAAAGTGTTTTTAGAAAAAAAAAAACAAAACTTCATGTTAAGTCAAATAAACATTACATAAATCGAAATGGAATGAGTACAAATTTTAGATCAACTTTATATTTATAAAATTTAAACTTTTGTAACTATTTTGCCTTTTAACAAAATTTAAAATGAAAATACTAAAGCTTTTTCACGATTATTTTTTATAGTATTCTTTTATCAATATTATGTTGATAATAACCAAAATTTTAATATAAATAAGATAATAAAGTAACTTAATTTTGAAATTCAAGTATGGATATCAATTGAGAAAACATTTTTTTTAAAGTTGTAAAGCATTCATAATCTAATATTTAATATGCTTCTTACTCTCGACGAATAACACTAATTTATCATAATTCAAGATTGTAAGAAGTAGAAATCAAGACTAAAAAGTGCAACTCACTATTATATGAAGGTCAATCCGTAGTTTATCTGTTGTGGAAGTTTCCTAAGTATATGATATATAATTCTATGTCAAATTAATTTTTTATCTCATTTATTTATACTATTTCAAAATGTATCCCGCTAATTGGTTATGTGTTTTCTTAAACTACAATTATGCAGTCATTATTTTGTATTTTTTTTTAATTCTTACATTATCAACTCTGTTTTTTTTTAATCTCTTTAGAATTGTGATATTTTTTGTTTTCTTATTTAAGTCACAAATTTTTAAGATAAAATAAATTAAATAAAATTATGTCAATACTTATGTTTAAAAAACATTATATATTATTATAAAGGAAATTACATACATGGAAGATTGTAGGATTATATATATTGAATATGTTATAGTAGTAGTAATAAACATAGATGAGCGATTTGAATTGTCAAGAGTATAAAGGTATAAATATTTTTCACATTATTATTATAATCAAATAAACACAAATTGATTTCAAAATAAAACAAAATGAATTTGTGGGGCCACACATGAAACAAAACTTTTTGTGACTCTTGAAAAGGAAAATTGGATTCTTCTAGAAAATTATTTTGATAATTAATTATACAATTATAAATTTATAACTCTGCCCATAAATAATGTTTAAAATTACAAAATTGTTGTTGGTCGTCCTAATCTTAGCTCTTCTATATAAACTAGTAAAGAAATCCCGGGCGCTGCCCAAGCCTAACATTAATAAAGTTATATTGTTACTTTCTCCGTCCCATATTAGATGAAAATCTTATTAAAAATATTTTTTTCATATTATCTGAGCACTTATTAAATTAGGATAGAATTAATTAATTCTTTTCCATTTACCCCTACAATTAATATGACAATTCTTATATTGTATGTGTATTTTTTGTAACTCATTTCAATGTACATTGATATAAACAAAGGACAAAATGGTGAAGTCTTCCAACTTATTAATGATTTATTAATCACCGTGTAAAGTTGGAAGTGCCCATCTAATATGGGACGGAGGGAGTATAGTTTATGTATTGTTATAAAATTAGTAAAGATTATTATAATATATTTTGCTCATAAGTGAGCTAATATAGAAACTTATTTGTCATTTGTCTTTTTAATTTCAATTTTAAATAGCAAATAAATGTAGCGATAAGATTGAGGGTAGAAATGAAGCATATCTTTCTAAATTTAAGTAAAAATAAACAGAGTAGAAGTAACATTAGGGTTATCGATAGGACGATTCATTCGGTTATTTTAAAAAAAATTATATCATTCAATTTTTCGGCTATTTTATAATGTATAACCAAAATTAAAATTTTAAAATCATCCCAATCCTAATTTATGTGACAGAAGCAGTACAAAAATTAGTCTTTTTTTTGTTGTCTTGTAGATATTTTAAGTTATTATTTATTGTAAATTATAGTACTTTTTATTAAAGTTTTTAATAACATATGTTACTTTTTATGTTTGAGAGTTAAACCAACTTTTTTTTATATGACTATTAATTTTATATGTATTTTGTCCTTTTCCATTTTGAAAAACCAATACCCTCTCCATTTTATTTATATGTCATTTTTTTTTTGTAAATATATTGGTTATTCCCTCTTCTTATTGGAACACATGTTGACTTGTGGTGAATACTTATTCCCTTTTCTTATATAGTAAATAATATAGATAATTGGTCGTGTGCTTCTTTTTTTTTTTAAACTACAATTATGCAGTCATTATTTTTTCTTTTTTTTTTTAATTCTTACATTATCAACTCTATATTTTTTTTCTTTTTCTTTTTTATCTCTTTAGAATTGTGATATTTTTGTTTTCTTATTTAAGTCTCAATTTTTTAAGATAAAATAAATATTATTTTGGAGATAAATAAGTTAAATAAAACTATATGAATACTTATGTTTAAAAAACATTATATATAATTAAAAAGGAAATTACATACATGGAAGATTGTAGGATTATACTAAATATGTTGTAGTAGTAATAAATGTAGATGAACAATTTGAATTGTCAAGAGTATAAATGTATAAATATTTTTCATATTATTATTATAATCAAACAAATACAAATTAATTTTAAAAAATAAAACAAAATGAATTTGTGGAGCCATACATGAAACAAAACTTTTTGTGACTCTTGAAAAGGAAAATTGGATTCTTCTAGAAAATTATTTTGACCATTAATTATACAATTATAAATTTATAACTTTGCCCATAAATAATGTTTAAAATTACAAAATTGCCATTGGTCGTCCTAATCATGACTCTTCTATATAATAGAAATATGATATATGATTTAGCCGCTCTTTAATGTAGAAAATCTTATCTAAACTATATATTTTAAAAAAACATTAGTGTATTGTGTTGAAGGTTGAAGCTTTTACAAGTGAAACTCCACAAACTATATTGAAACTCCAAATGGTGTTGGATTTCGAAACTTTTATAGGTAAACTCCAGCACAGTGTATTAGAGCTTCAATCCAATCTTTTCGAAAAGATTTGTACAACAATTTTTATAGTGAAACTTGTTCAATCACCAGATACAATCATGAAGTTTAATTTGTAGAAGTAAATTGTTCTTTTAAGTTAAAAGATAATACCATGAGTGGAATATATTTTTGGTATAATTACCCAAACATGTTCACTCACGAGTACATTTTGTAATATTTATATATCTTATCATTATTTCGTTCAATTATCTCTTTTAAAAACCCAAACTTAATGAATTGGAATAGTTTGGGAAAGAGTAGAGCACAAAAAAAGAAGCTTTGTTGCATTAGATTCTCCATTTGGAGGAACCTGAGAATTTTGAAGCAATGAAATTGGAATAGTTTCATCTCTAAGAAACACAAACCAAACTTGCAATTTTCGAAACCAACGCCTATAAAACGGTATAGTAACAAAGCTTTCAAAGTCTCATAACCATTTCCAAGAAAAAGAAAACAATGATTTGCACTTCTATTTGTTGATAACAAAAAAATGGAAACGGGACCTAATCGGGCGTCGCCACCTGTTTATGAAGATTTTAGGCCTGTTTCTAAGCGGCATCAAGAGGCAGGAGCTGAA